ATTATTTAGGACTACCAATATGCAGTAAAATGACCCCGGGAATACTCCAGCATCAGACAGTACCAAGAATTTATGATTTCTAAACCACAATGTCAAACACTTTATATGACTGCAAAAATGTATAAAAGACAAATTTTACATTCATCTTTGTGTATCATGAGTTCATTCTATTTTGGTGAAATCTGGTTTTGGTTAAGCTTCATATGGATCATGTAGTGTCATTTGGGTTTTTTTTTTTTTAAGTTTATTTATTTATTCTGAGAGAGAGAGAGAGAGAGCGGGAGGGGCAGAGCGAGAGGGAGAGAGTGGGATCTCGAGCTCAGAAACTGTGAGATCATGACCTGAGCAGAAACCAAGAGTCAGACGTTTAACTGACTGAGCCACCCAGGCACCCCAATTTTTAAATTGGGATATAATTTGTGTACCATAATATTCATCCTTTAAAAGTGTATAAATCAGGGGTGCCTGGGTGGCTCAGTCAGTTAGGCATCCGACTTCGGCTCAGGTTATGGTCTCATGGTTCGTGGTTTGAGCCCCGTGTCTGTGCTGACAGCTCAGAGCCTGGAGCCTGCTTTGGATTCTGTGTCTCCCTCTCTCTGGCCCTCCTCTGCTCACGCTCTGTCTCACTCTCTCTCTCAAAAATAAATAAACATTTAAAAAAATTTTAAGTGTATAAATCAATGGTTTGTAGCTTATTTACAAAGTCGTACAATCATCAGCATCACCTAGTTCCAGAACATTTTAATTACCCACAAAAGAAAACCTATTCCCGGGGCACCTGGGTGGCTCAGTTGGTTGAGCGTCCAACTTCAGCTCAGGTCACGATCTCACGGTTTGTGAGTTTGAGCCCCACATTGGACTCTGTGCTGACAGCTTGGAGTCTGCTTGATATTTTGTGTCTCCCTCTCTCTTTGCCCCTCCCCTGCTCACTCTCTGTCTCTATCTCTGTCTCTCTCTCTCTCTCTCAAAAATAAATAAACATTGGGGCGCCTGGGTGGCGCAGTTGGATAAGCGTCCGACTTCAGACAGGTCACGATCTCGCGGTCTGTGAGTTCGAGCCCTGCGTCAGGCTCTGGGCTGATGGCTCGGAGCCTGGAGCCTGTTTCCGATTCTGTGTCTCCCTCTCTCTCTGCCCCTCCCCCGTTCATGCTCTGTCTCTCTCTGTCCCAAAAATAAATAAACGTTGAAAAAAAAAATTTAAATAAATAAATAAATAAATAAATAAATAAACATTAAAAACTTAAAAAAAAAAAAAAAGAAACACAATTCCCATTGCTATTCTTTCTCCATTTCCCTCTACCCTACCCCTGGTAACCACTAGCCTACTTTCTGTCTCTCTGGATTTGCCTACTCTGGATATTTTATATAAATGAAATCAAATAACATGTGGCCTTTTGTGTCTGGCTTCTTTCACTTGGCATAATGCTTTCAGGTTCATCTATTTTGTAGTGTAGATCAGAATTTCATTTCTTTTTATTGCCAAATAATATTCCGTTGTGTAGATATACCATATGTATTCATTCATGTATCACTTGAGGTACATTTGAGTTGCTTTCACTTTGGCTCAGGGAAGTTAAATGACTTCAGGACTATTACGGACAATCTTCCTATGCATATTTGAGTATGAGGTTTTGAGTGGCCATATGTTTTCATTTTTCTTGGATATATACCTAGGAGTAGAATTGCTGGGTCATATGGTAACTCTTTGCTCAGTCTTTTGAGAAACTGCTAAAACTGTTTGCCAAAGTGGCTGCACAATTTTACATCTTCATAAGAAATGGGCAAAAGACATGAATAGACACTTTTCCAGAGAAGGCATCCAGATGGCCAACAGACACATGAAAAGATGCTCAACGTCACTCATCAACAGGGAAATACAAATCAAAACCACACTGAGATACCACCTCACACCAGTCAGAGTGGCTAAAATGAACAGCTCAGGAAACTACAGGTGCTGGTGAGGATGTGGAGAAAGGGGATCCCTCTTGCACTGTTGGTGGGAATGCAAACTGGTGCAGCCGCTCTGGAAAACAGTGTGGAAGTGCCTCAAAAAATTCAAAATAGAACTACCCTACAACCCAGCAATAGCACTACTAGGAATTTATCCAAGGGATACAGGAGTGCTGATGGATAGGGGCACATGTACCCCAATGTTTATAGCAGCGCTTTCAACCATAGCCAAACTATGGAAAGAGCCTAAATGTCCATCAACTGATGAATGGATAAAGATATGGTTTATATATACAATGGAATACTACTTGGCAATGAGAAAGAATGAAATCATGCCATTTGCAGCAACGTGGATGGAACTGGAAGGTATTATGCTGAGTGAAAGAAGTCAGTCAGAAAAGGACAGATATCATATGTTTTCACTCATATATGGAACTTGAGAATCTTAACAGAAGACCATGGGGGAAGGGAAGGGGAAAAAAATAGTTACAAAGAGAGAGGGAGGGAGGCAAACCATAAGAGACTGTTAAATACAGAGAACAAACTGAGGGTGGATGGAGGGGGTGGGGGGCGAGGAAAATGGGTGATGGGCATTGAGGAGGGCACCTGTTGGGATGAGCACTGGGTGTTGTATGTAAGCAATGAACCATGGGAATCTACCCCAAAAACCAAGAGCACACTTTGCACACTGCATGTTAGCCAATTTGACAATAAACTATATTAAAATAAATAAATAAATAAATAAATAAATACACACATAAATACATAAATAAAATAAAATAAAATATTATTTGTGGGTAGCTACTGAAACCACACAGGATTTCCACACCTTCTCCTGCAATATTCTACTTAGCCTACTGGCCACCATTTTCTGGGGCCAGATCCAGTAAGTTCACTGCCTACTAGGCCTAGTCCTGATTCCAAGTCCTAGCTTCCTGCTGTCTCCCCACTGACAACCTTCTACTGAGACCCTCGCCATATGCTTCATGTCCAAATCCATGTAATTATGACATATTTTGGATGGCTTCATTATTCAAGCTATAATCACCTATAATTACTTGATGGAAATTAATTATCAGTATCACTTATTCTTGAGTAGGTCTTTAAGGTTCATAAGACACACTGTTTCATTTATTTCTTAACAACATAGCAACAAGTACCATTATTCTTAGTTTAGAGATATAGAAACTAAAAGCTCAGGAAAGTTAAATGATTTGCCTAATAATACAGAGAGCACAACTGAAGAAAAAGATAATCTCTCTTTATCTCCTTCTGATGATTAAACTGAGAGTAATATAATTATTGACAGTATCAGGATTACTGGTAAAACCAGGACCCAAACTTGAACCCCAAATCCTATTCTTCCACTGACTACCTAATACAGGGAGCCCCGCACTTTTCAAAAGTTCACGTTAGGCCACTTGGCTTTTACCAAAGACCTATGTTAGAACCTGTTTTTGCTAACTGAAAGAAACCCAAAGAGGATTTTCATTTCCACGAAAAAAGGTGAAAGGCCAAAATAGTGCCTAGCGTTTTGTTTTGTAGCTAGCCAGCCTCTGTAGAAGTACCGTGAGCAGTGAGAGCGGCCCCACCTGACTCCTTCCCTGGGAACAATACTCAGTATCTCCACATCATGCCATCAGAGCTTTTAACTGGGTCTGTGAGCATCTGTGCTTTATCTAGATTTATTTCATGCATCTGTTAGCAAGATGTGTCCTAAGGTATCAGAAACGCCTAAGCGAGGTTATTTTTTGGGCGTGGGTATGCTCAAATTTTTTCCACATACATTAATGGTAATTGCTTGACTTTGGGATAGCAACAGAGAGGAGGACAGGGGACCCGTAGTGCTTCTCTGCCATAAAATAATTTGTCTGAATTTTATTATGAGGACATTTTCCCAAATTATTTTTGGCAGCCTCCAAGTTCTCCAAAAGCTTTAAAAATTTTTTTCTAGCTTGTCTGTGATGTAGCATTGTCTGGCTTCCCTGCCTATCATCAAACTCATTTAATTAATTGTGTTCTAAAAGAATCAGTTTATTCTATATGTGGCAACAGGCAAAGGGACAAAAGCCCAAAACTGTTGTTAATTTTTATAACATCCAACTAATAATTGCTATAGATTCTTCCCTAATACTGCAGTTCTTAATCAGTCTTTTTCTTCAATGTTTGTAACACCTGCATTACCACCCTACCTGGTTCAAATTCAGACACCTCAAGTGTAGTTTTCAAAATTTTCATCAGACTTTCAAATTCACCCTACTCTCAGCCAAAACTTACTTGTGCCTATGAGCCCAACCCTCGGGTCAAACAAGTTTCATCATCACCCTCTTTATACATCATGCTCGCAACCACCTCAACAGTTTTGTTCATGCTGTTCCCTTAAGTGGAAATACCCTTCCTCTTTCCCCCTACAATGGAAAATCTACCTCCTCTTTATGGCTAACACAAATCCTACCTCGTCCATACAGCTTTCCCCCCACACCTGCAGTCCTCAGTGGCCTCTGCTCAAATTGCAACTGCACCATGATAGGGAATAAAGAAAACATTCGTGGGAATTGCAATCCATGGGTTAAAAATGGTATCTTTCGGGGTGCCTGGGTGGCTCAGTCGGTTAAACGTCCGACTTCGGCTCAGGTCATGATCTTGCGGTTTGTGAGTTCGAGCCCGCGTCAGGCTCTCTGCCGACAGCTCGGAGCCTGCAGCCTGCTTCCGATTCTGTGTCTCCCTCTCTCTCTGCCCCTCCCCTGTTCACGCTCTGTCTCTCAATAATAAATAAACGTTAAAAAAATTTTTTTAATGATATCTTTCTGAGAAACCTCAGTTTCATTACTTTCACCAACTCTAACATTCATGGTAATTTTAATGAAATCATCAAGATAATCCCTATCCCCTTCCAATGATAAAATTGAGAGCCATATAATCATTTACAGTGAAAAGATCTATTTGAAACCAAACTAACCAAAACCCTTAATTAAGTAGAGTTCTTTTACATACAACTTTTAAAATAACGAGGCAAAGCAAACAAAAAATAAAGCTAATTCGACTTTTAGTTACCTTCCAGGGCGTGTCTCAGCCTCATGCCCAACATCTGTTCCATCCATTCTTGGAAACATTTCACTGATTCCTGAGATGATGAGCCTGCAAATCGACACAAGTAAAGATGCTCACTAGATTCTACTTGCTAAGGCAGGAAAGTAGACTCAGACTAAAAAAATTTCCAAGAACATGAGGAAAACCAAAATAGGATTGTACTTCACCCAGGCAATCAAGACAGACTATTTAAAAGAAAGTGTAAAGTCCTCAAAGACAAGGACCAAGTCTTAATCTTCTTTGTCTCCCTCACATACAGTCGACTCTCAGGAAAGTTGTCCACATGGAGCATTTCACTAGAAATCCCCCGATCCACAGCTTTTCGACAGACCAATTTGGATGTTTTATGTAAAATTTCCTCAAAGGCTGAAAATATCTGCTGTGAATATTCAATGTAACGGCTTCATTTACACTGATCTTTTAGAGGTCTGCTTTGTTTGTTTGTTTTCATAATCTCTTCTTCTTGTCCTCTCTCTTATTGGCAGGCTTTGTTTTCTTTTCCAGAGGCCTACTGAGGATGGCACACTTTCAGTAATGTTCCATTTTCTACTTGTTTTTAAATCAACCATATGTGCCTCCATTAAGAAGTGAAGCTCCGATGATGCTGGTTTCCCTCTTTAAGAGTTCTGTTCTAAAGAAGAATAAGAAACCTCGCTCATAGATCCAGGACTCTCCTAAGAATAGAGATCCTCTATGTGCACCTTCTCCAAAATTTCACCAGGCAGAAGCCCCGGTTTGGAATGCCTTTACATTAATCAGCTTTCCCGGCAGCATAATGATGCTGGAAATTAGGAAAGCAATGGAGGATTCTTAGTCGGATTTAATAGGCTTGGGCACTTTGCTAACACACTGCAGTGGATCAATTGAAGTTAATTATTATACAAGATTAAACCCCAAGTAACTACAGTACATCAAACCAATGCAAAAAGCTCTGGCTCAGGAAGGAGAAAAAACAAACATGAATTCTAGAGGCAAGACTTTTCCATCCCGTTCTTAACTCACTACATTTTGCATATAAACATAATAGACTAATACAATATGAAATAGAGCATATTAAATTCTAAGAGTGAGATATAAACTTCACCTACTGTCTCTATGGAATACTTAACCTGGGGACCTAAAGGAATGGCTGTGAATTTTCTTAACGTTTCTATTTATTTTTGGATAGTTGATTTGTCTTCTACTGCTTGCCCAGATTTACATTTCTACCCACCGGGGACTCAACCTTTTACGATCATTGACCATTGCAAGAAAAAGAAGTATCTGAAGAAGCCACAAAAGCAAATAAATGGGATTTCACCTTTATTCACTGCCTGAGTCACTTCAAGGAAGCATGGCTAAGCCCGGAATAGGTGCTTAATAAATAATTCTTGTATGAGAGTTATTTAGGTTCTTTAGGGACCTAACTGGGAGAGACAAAGGAACATACTAGGAAGGAGAAAACAATGACAAGGCACATTGATGCTAATTCATGGTCATTAAGTGACAGTAATATACCTTGTTGGCAGGATGTTTTTTTAAGTATCACCCATTTCTTCCTGACAGTTCCTTTTTCTTGCCCTTCCCCTCACCGAACAGCTAAACAGTTCTGTGCTCATTTGCTTTGGCAGACAGCAGAAATGGCATAAAGCAGTGGGGAGCAAGAGGCATCTCATCTTGGCATTTGGGTTTCAAAAGCCTAGCAAAGGGCTCACAACGCAAATAATGCTAGTGAAAAAGTAAAAATTTCCCCAACCATCCCCCACCAGACCAGGAAAAGATGTCCTAGGATGAGAGAATTAAGAAAAGGTAGAGAGGAAGCAATGAGAATATAGATGTCAAGTGTTCCAAGAGAGGGGGCCAGAAATAAAAAGCCACATAGGTTTTTGGTTTCTAAGATATAGGGAATTTAGACCCCATTTTCAGATGAAGCCTTTGGGAGACAATAAGATACATGAGGGACAAGTAGCTCTTAAACATGTCTCAGCAGAAGGGAACTTAGCCTCACTGCGCTTTACTACACCTTGTTGTAGAGCAGGAACAGCTGACTGATTTCTGAGAGCACAAGAGTGACATGGAAGTAGCATTGAAAAACAATCAACCTAGGGGCACCGGGTGGCTCAGTTGGTTAAGCGTCTGACTTTGGCTCAAGTCATGATCTCACGGTTCACGAGTTTGAGCCCTCGGGCTCTCTGTGATCAGCGCAGAACCTGTTTTGGATCCTTTGTCCACCCCCCTCCCATCTCTTTCTGCCCCTCCCCCACTTGCACTCTCTGTCTCTCAAAAAGAAATAAACATTAAAAAAAACCAATCAACCTAAGGGAGCCATGAAGAGCAAGGATCATCCCTCCTGGTGGTGTTTATGAACCACTGATGTAGGCTCAGATGAGGCATGGGTATCTCAATAGATACTTACATGGGCAGAATTTATTGAAGATACAACATATCCAATTGAAGATACAACATATCCTCCCAATATCTTGGCACTACGTGAGTTCTCCATCTAGCCCTCAATAACTTAAACACAACCCAAGTCAAGAAGTGTGAAATGCCCAGACTGACTACAATTAAGTTTCCAAACTCTGTTGGCATGAAACTTTCAAGTTGAAATTTATTAGAAAAAGAGTTTCATTTTTTCATACACATGGGTTTATGGACTGAGATTCATGCCTATATATCTGTAAGCATATATTCAACAAAATACACGCTAAAGAAGTGTTAAAATAGGGATGGACAAGTTATTCAATAAACATTGATTCACTGGTCACTATGGCTTTGATTAGGAGGTGGTAAGAAAAATATAATGGCAGGGGTATGTGGTAGAAATTCACAGAACCCCAACTGAAGTGTTGGAATTTTAAGGTCCAAACACGGTAGTAGACCAGGAGACAGATAAGAAACTGGCATGGAAAGAAAATGACATTCACCTAGTTATTTAACTTTGCATGAAAATATTGGCTCTCAAACTTTAGTGCAAATATGAGCCAACTTTGATGGATTTTTTTTTTCACAATACATACACAATGGCCTCAGTACCAGATTTTGATTCCATGGATATAGAGCAAGAGTCAGCACACTTGTGCCATAAAGGTCCAGACAGTAAATGTTTTAGGATTTCCTGGACACGTGGACTCTGTCACAACTATCCAATTCTGCCCTGTGGTGCAAAAGCAGCCACAGACTATACATACATGAAAAGATATATCTGTGTTCCGATAAACTTCTATTTACAAAAATAGGTGGCAGCTTGGATTTGGCCCACAGGCCACAGTTTTCTGACCCCTGTTCTCAAACAAGTCCTGAAGCCTATAATTTTTTAAAGTTCTACAAGTGATTCAAATCACAATATTCCAGAAAGCTTCGATTTTTATACAAATACATTACTTATGCGGGGTAACATATTAATATTTTAGGTATCTTTATCAAAGTTTTATTTAATTAAAAAAAAACAGGAAATTGGGGCAAAAGATACATGGGTCTCATTTATGAATGGCTACGTAAAAGTTATACAAAAACCCTAAATTAAATATTATCAGCTAGAAACCTCTAGTATAGAAAAAGAATGAGCTATCATAATTAAGTAGAACTAATGCTGGGAATAGAAAAACATTACATACCCTTGAATCCAATGATTTCATTTCTAGGAATCATACAGATACATGTTAAGAGATTTAGGTAGGAAAAGTATTTACTCACTGCAGCATTGTTCGTAATAGCAACAGAGGGAAAACCATATAAAGGTCTATTAACAGGAGACTGGTTGATACTACATGCTTAAATATGCATAGAATGTCTCTAGAAGAGTATACAGGAAACTAGTGGCTTCTTCTAGAGAGAGGAACTGGTTGACTAAGAAATAGGGCTAAAGGGGGGCGCCTGGGTAGTTCACTCGGTTAAGCATCTGACTCTTGATTTTGCCTCAGGTCACGGCCTCATGGTTTGTGAGTTTGAGCCCAGCATCAGGCTCTGTGCTGACAGCGCAGAGCCTGCTTGGGATTCTTGGGATTCTCTCTGCTTGGGATTCTCTCTCTCTGCTTGGGATTCTCTTTCTCTCTCTCTCTCCCTTGCTCTCTGCCCCTCCCCACCACTGTGCATGCGTGCATGCATTTCCCCCCCCACTCTCAAAATAAATAAATAAACATTTTAAAAGTTTTTTAAAAATATAAGGCAAAAGGGAGACTTGCTGTATATATTTTGGGGTTTTAGGGGCTTATATAATGTGCAAATGCAACATATTCAAATGAGTAATTATTATAATTTTAAAATTACATTGCATTAATTGATTCATTTAGCAAACCCTTATTGGCCTCTTACCTCAGGGTAGAGCAATAAACATAGATATCTGGCAGAGGAAACAACCAAGCAAACAATCTGGAAAACGGTGGCTTCAGTGTCCAGGTGCAACCACCAAAAATTGGTTCAATTGTCTTGAGAGAGGAGACAGAAGCATATAATCAGTATTTATTTATATGCCCCCAAAGTGATTCTAATATCTAGAATAACATAGCTAATATATTTGAGAGCTAATTAGTTTAAATAAGTATAGACTGATGGTGAAAAAACCTAGAGAAAATCTTAATTGCATCTGAGAATGCCACATCTCCTGAGGACATAAAAAGTGCATGATGTCATTTTCAGAATAAAGGAGGGATCAAGAAATGAGTGAATGTCATTGACCAGTTCTTCCACCTTCTAGAGTAATCCAGTGAGCATAATTCCTCATCCTGGCCCCAGGCATTCCAGGAGAGCAATAGCTCCAATGCTCCCATTTTATCTACTTTCCTACTTGCACCCAAAGAAGAATGAGAAGAGAACCCCATACCACACCCACACCCCATAGAAAGGTTCTATTTTTTTCTTTGACTTACTAAGGGACTACTGTAATAAAAATGCTAACTCTGTCTTCCAACACCTTCTGGGTCACTATTGCCTTAGACCCCTAACAAGCTGACTTATATGTGTGCCGAATGAACCCACCCATGAGCAAACATTGAAAGTTCACAATCCAGAGGTGCCTAGGTGGCTCAGTTGGTTGAGTGTCTGACTCTTGATTTCTGCTCAGGTCATGATCTTACAGTTGTGGGATCAAGTCCCACATCAGGCTACGCACTGTGTGTGGGGCCTGCTTGGGATTCTCTCTCTCTCTCTCTCTCTCTCTCTCTCTCTCTCTCTCCCTTTGCCCGGCACATGCATGCACTCTCTCTCTGTCTCTGTCTCTCTGTCTCTCTCTCTCTCTCTAAAATAAAGAAAAAAAAAGTAAATTCACAATGCAGCTAAGGAGACTCAGCAACTTGAGGGAACAGCCAAGATGAACAACCAGGATTTGTGGCTTGTTTTCTTTTTTCTTTTCAAATTTTTACTTAAATTCTAGTTATTTAACATACTGTGACTGTTATTGAGGCAGACATAATTATAAGGGAAAGAAGAGAGCTTTCAAGGAAAATGGTGAGGACCCTTAAAAAGACATAACTAGAATGCAAAACAGGGGAGTCCAGAAAACATTTTTTTACAGTTTAAAAAATCAGTAAATAGAATGGCCAATGGTTAAAATTGGAAGATAAAATAAAAGATCTTTTAACACACAGAGAAAAATACATTAAATGGGATTTATTAATGAAAAGATAAGACATATTGAAAGTAGTTCCAGAAAACGAACCACTAAATAATAGTTGTATAGGAAGAGAAAAAAAATAGATGGAAATCAATGATCAAAGAAACAAAAAACCAAATTTATGTCAACTAGAAAGACTTTAGATTTCAGTTTAAAAGTGATCCCCAGGGACCCCTGGGTAGCTCAGTTGGTTGAGCATCTGACTCTTGATTTGGACTCAGGTCATGATCCCAGGGTCGTGAGATCAAGCCCTGCACTGGGCTCATCATTGAGCATGGAGTCTGTTTGAGATTCTCTCTCTCTCTCTCCCCCCCTCTCTCCCCGTCACCCTTTCTCCCTGTCTTTCTCCCTTGCTCATCTTCTCTCTCTAAAATTTAAAAAAAGGGATCTCCAAATCTCATGACCTGTTAATGAAAAAAAACATGCACACCTAGAAAGCCTATAGAAACATCTAAGCTACAAAGAAAGTAAAATCTTAGAGACACCAAGATAAATAAAACAGGTTGTTAATAACTAAAAGAGAATTTGACTAGCATTAAACTTCTTTTCTTCACCATTGGAAGTTAGAGGACATTGAAGCAATATGTATATATTCTGGAGAGTAAACAGACTTATTCAAAGTAATATTCATATGTGAGAGCAAAAGAAATCATGAACATAAGAAAATTCAGAAAGTATACCACTGTTGGTACAGCCACAGGGAAATCAGTACGGAGGTTCCTCAAAAATTAAAAATAGAAATACCATATGATCCAATAATTTACTATTGGATATTTACCCAAAGAAAACAAAAACACTAATTCAAAAAGATACATGCACCCTATGTTACTGCAGCATTATTTACAGTAGCCAAGATATGGAAGCAACCTAAGTGTCCATCAACAAATGAATGGATAAGGAAGATGCTGTGTGTGTGTGTGTGTGTGTGTGTGTGTGTGTGTGTATACATACATCCACAATGATAAAAAAAAGAATGAGATTAAGCCACCTGAGACAACATGAATGGACTAGAGGTCAGACTGTAAAAGACAAATAACATATGATTTCACTCATAAGTGGAATAAAAAAAAATGAATGAACAAAAAGCAGAATCAAACCTGAGGGAGTGGGGGTGGGCAAAATGAGTGAAGGGGAGTGAGAGATACAGGCTTCCAGTTATGGAATGAATAATTCACAGGAATAAAAGGCACAGCATAAGGAATACAGTCAATATTGTAATGGCACTGTAATGGCACTGTGTGTCAACCATACTAAAAAAATATTAAGCCAGTAATAGCATACATGGTACAAAACTAACAAATCATAAGGGGCATCTGGGTAGCTCAGTCATGATCAGTTAAGCATCCAACTCTGGATTTTGGCTCAGGTCATGATCTCACAGTTCCTTTGATTGAGCTCCACACTATTAATGCGGAGCCTGCTTAGGATTCTCTCTCTCCCCCTCTGTCTGCCCCTCTCTCTCAAAGAAATAAACTTTAAAAAAAATCATAAAATTGGGGGGGGGGAAGTGTACTACTCAGATACTCTTTATAAGTAAATTACTCAAAGAAAGACTGTTTCCAAGTGAAAATTATAGCAGATGAAAGAACTCAAGATGAGGGAAGGTAAAATGTATACAAAAGAGTGGTGAGCCATCCTTCTTGCAAAATGTATTGTTAAAACCTAAATGAATGATAATATGAGCACAAACTGTCACATAAATATTAAGAAAGGTGTATTGGACTATAATTTACATTTTGTAAAGTAAAATATATAGTCATATACTGGAAATAAATTATTTTTTTAAACAAAGTTTGGGATTTGGTACAGAAAAGAGGGAGTGAGGCATTTAAACCTGTGTAAGAAATTTCTTTGAACATAGTGGTAAAACATTTTGGAGATTGGAAAACATACCTTATTTTTTTTTTTAATTTTTTTTTTCAACGTTTATTTATTTTTGGGACAGAGAGAGACAGAGCATGAACGGGGGAGGAGCAGAGAGAGAGGGAGACACAGAATCGGAAACAGGCTCCAGGCTCCGAGCCATCAGCCCAGAGCCTGACGTGGGGCTCGAACTCACGGACCGCGAGATCGTGACCTGGCTGAAGTCGGACACTCAACCGACTGCGCCACCCAGGCGCCCCGAAAACATACCTTATTTGATTCTGTTCTTTTGATAGAAGAATATAGCTTTAAATGCTACAAAAATGTAGAAATATATCACTAGAGAAATAGAGAATTTATGAATTAACATAGGACAAAAGAGAAATGTTCTCACTCTGAGAAATCTAGATATGACAAAGGATAAATGAGCAAATAATAACAAGAATAGTAAGTAATAAACATAAAATAAGAAAAAAGGAAAAATTTAAACATATCAATTATCCCCCAAAATGGAAATGGATTGAACTCCCTTTAAAAAGATAAGAAGGAGGGGCGCCTGGGTGGCGCAGTCGGTTAAGCGTCCGACTTCAACCAGGTCACGATCTCACGGTCCGTGAGTTCGAGCCTCGCGTCAGGCTCTGGGCTGATGGCTCAGAGCCTGGAGCCTGTTTCCAATTCTGTGTCTCCCTCTCTCTCTGCCCCTCGCCCGTTCATGCTCTGTCTCTCTCTGTCCCAAAAATAAATAAACATTGAAAAAAAAATTAAAAAAAATAAATGAATAAAAAGATAAGAAAGAAAGAAAGAAAGAAGGAGGAAGGGAGGGAAGGAAGGAAGGAAAAGAAACAAATTGCAAATTAAATTAAGAAATAAATGTTGAAAATAAAGTAATAAGCAAAAATATATTAGGCAAATATTAAAAAGAAAGCAAGAGGGGCGCCTGGGTGGCGCAGTCGGTTAAGCGTCCGACTTCAGCCAGGTCACGATCTCGCGGTCCGTGAGTTCGAGCACCACGTCAGGCTCTGGGCCGATGGCTCAGAGCCTGGAGCCTGTTTCCGATTCTGTGTCTCCCTCTCTCTCTGCCCCTCCCCCGTTCATGCTCTGTCTCTCTCTGTCCCAAAAATAAATAAACGTTGAAAAAAAAAATAAAATAAAAAGAAAGCAAGAATTGTGATACTGGTACAAGGAAATGAGAATCAAAGTGAAAAGTATTAAATGGCACAAAGAGAAACATTTGGTCATTGACTTATTTATTGAGCATCTACTATGTGTCAAGCATTGTTCTGGATACAAGGAAAAGCCAGTGACCAAACAGAATAAAAGAGCTGCATTTGCACACCTTGCATTATAGTAGCAGAGGATAGATACTAAACAAAAAAAGTAAATTATTTGGTATATTAGATGTGATAAATGCTGTGGAGAGGAAAAACAAGGAGAGAACAGTGAGAAATACCTTAGGTGAGGTTAGAGAAGCCTATCTAAGAAGGCAACATTTGAGCAAGGACTTAAAACAGGTGTAATGGTAAAAGATACTAAGATACTAAGAAGATGTAAGATATAACTCACAAGTACTTATGCACCAAACAACATAAGAGCAAACGCTCCCAGAATTACAGAGAGAAAGCAATATAACTATATAAAGTGATAAATGTTAATAGATGTCTTTCAGAAAAACTAGTAAGGATAGGAAGGATTTCTGTCCCCTGCAAGGAAAGAATATGCATTTTCTTCTATGGCTATGGAACATTTGTAAAAATCAGTCATGTACTTGACACAAAGAAACCTTAAGAAATTCATAAAGTTTTAAAAAGCCATATTTCCCTAAGAATGGCACAAAAAATTAGAAACAACAGCAAAAATATAACAGTATCTTAAGGATCTGGAAACTGAGAAATGCTTGGATAAAAAGAAGAAATTAAAATAGAAATCATGACTTATCTAAAATGTATCCCCAAA